TGCCACTGACGATTCAAACACGAGTTTTGAGCAGTGTAGAGTAGCGCTTGTTGTTTGTCATTTCTCCGATCACAAATGCAGACATGGTTTTATGTTTACGCAGCGCGATGCAACGCAACGCATAAAAAAGACAGTATAAGTCATTATAATCCGTAATTATGTCCCCACTGGATGCAACAAATGCCTCGTTTACAATGTTTTTGTCTTGTCGCTCCGGGACACGGCATCACAATATGGTAAGGCGTGTAACATTTCCGTCACATGCTTGAGGTATTCGGCCAATCACAATGCACTGAATAGCTGGCCAATCAGAGCACACCTCGCTTTTCAGACCGATGAGCTTTGTAAAAATCGACGCGTTTCAGAAAGGCGGGGCATAGAGGAGAAACAATAATGTACAGTATGTGGAAAATAATGTGTTTTTTTTTTACTTAAACTGCATAAACACATTGCATTACATCAAATACACAAAATAATGTTCTTTTTAGCAATGTCATATGAGCCCTTTAATACAAAGGACGGAAAGCCAATCACACAGAGTACATTTTTCATTTAAAAACCCACCATAAAGTCTCAATATATGTTTTTTTCAAAGTTGAACTTACATTAATTTTACATGGCTTTCTAAACATGCGACTCTCTTGTGCGAGACGCAAGTGTAACAGTGATAGATGTCCCTCTAGAAAATGCGTGAAATATGCATTCTGTGTGAACGGCTTGGTTTCAGTTTTGATGTAAACAAGATCTTCTCCGCATTGATGTTCTCTTTTTCCACAATATTTTGAATGAACAAAGCAGCAGTGGTTTCAACTGGATAGGCTAACAAAAACATTATAATGCAACGACACTTACATCGTTATCGCATCTCGTGCGCCACTGCTAAGGCTGCCTCCTTAACGCACACCTAAAATTCGAATGCAATGTTTCTGCATGTGGATTTTTATTTTAAATTCAACGAATATTCGAAAACAATTTTGACAGCCCTAGTGTGGTGAGTGTATTTTACATTGCCATGTTCAAATCAAATGTGTTGAGGACGTCATGAAGTTTCAAACTGAAACTTTGACATTAAGTTGCAGTAAATCTGTGTTTAAATCTAAAACAGGTCATGCAACAACATGAAAGAGTTAAAACCATTTTCTCTAGAAAATACAAGTAGTGCTTCCACAATTCTGTTGTCTGTTTCCAAAGTGTTACTATGTGATTGTCAAGGTCCTTTGTGAAAATAAACTGCACTAAATTGTTCACAATGTGCACTTGTAGTGTACTTCAAATCTTACAAATATATCCAAAGTTCTGTTAAGAAACTCTAGATGGCGCAGTCCGATGGGTCTAACTCAATCTGACATAATGACGTCATCACATGGTGCAGCTGATTGGTTCTTTTTGCTTCCGCAGCCAATGAGCTTGCTGCTCAACATTCAAATATATGACTAGTGCTTGCAGTTTGCTTCAGAAACCCTCCACCTTCCCCAGCTCCACCTGTATAGATCGGCTACGAGGATTCATGTATGCTAGATATGGGGGTTATTCATATATATGTTAAATGAGCAGCAGCAGTATTTCTTACATTACCACACATTCTCTTCACTTAATAAATCTGTTGTAGGTAAACCTTAGCTTTATTAAAGTGCATTTATCTCTGTTGTTTTTGTTTCAGTGTACTGATGAGAAGTCCTCCTCACTTGATACAGGAAATTATTCTTGTGGACGACTTCAGCTCTGACCGTAAGTAGAGCTTCACGTCATTGCAGCACAAGAACACACACACACACACATATATGAAAGCAGGGAATGATGACAAAGTGTTTCCTGTGTGTGTATGTGCTCATATTTGACCTTTGACGACACATTAGCTGTGGAGGTCGTTGTAAATATTGCTCATTCTCTGTACATCAGTGAGCCAAGACTGAGCCCGGCCCTGCTGTTGCCACGGTGAGGAAACAAACGGCACAATCAGACGTGTAGCTCTGCTGTGATTAATGTAGTGGAGCGCTAAAGAGAGACGTGATTTTTCCTTTACAGAGATCATGTGTTGGTCTCAGGCGGAGCTTTATGCTCTCCTTATTTTGGCATGGAGCACACATGCACCTCACAAAACACACACACACACACACATGCTGACAATGATAAAACTGCTCTACTGTTGCCAAAGGTGCTTCAAGGGTTCAAGTCTTATTCATTTCAGGTTTCTGAACTAAAATACTATTAAATTCTGCCTATCTAGAATATGTTGTTGTTATTATTGCATGCTTTTTTATAATACTACAACACACTGAGATACAAATACCATCTGCTGCTATTTGCACTAAGCCATCCTTTAAATATAGCTGGAACTCAAAAAACTTAAAAGATCCTCTAACCTCAGACATGGTTTTAGATTAATTACTCCACACCTGTTTCTGTTTCTCCCTGATTGCCCTCTCCTGTTATTTAAGCCCTGTGTTTTGCCCTAGCTCCTTAGTTTTGACATCATTGATGTGATGTTGATTTAAGTTTATCTCCTGCATTTCTCCTGCCTGTAGATTTATTAAAGGACTTTCTTGTTTATTTCTACTCCTGCATTGTGTGCTTTCTACAGCGACGCAACACGAATTAAAGGGGTCATAGGATGTTGCTAAAAAGAACATTATTTGGTGTAATGAAATGTGTTTATGTGGTTTAAGGAAAAAAAACATTATTTTCCACATACTGTACATTATTGTTTCTCCTCTATGCCCCGCCTTTCTGAAACGTGTCGATCTTTACAAAGCTCCTCGTTCTAAAAAAGCGAGGTGTGCTGTGATTGGCCAGTTATCCAGTGTGTTATGATTGGCCGAATACCTCAAGCGTGAGACGGAAATGTTACGCCCCTTGCCATACTGTGATGATGCCCTGTCAGGCCGGAGCGATGATTCAAAAACTTGAAAACCCATTATAAACGAGGCATTCGTTGCATCCAGTGGGGACATAATTATGGATTATAATGACTTATACTGTCTTTTTACGTGTTGCGTTGCATCGCGCCTCGTAAACATAAAACTATGTCTGCATTTGTGATCAGAGAAATGAAAAACTACAAACGCTACTCTACACTGTCCAAAAAACTTGCTTTAAATATATAAAATATAAAATCTCTTTAAATATAAAAAACTTACTTACAGTCTGTGAGTCAGAACAGCCGGCATTGTAGTCTACTCTCCCAGGATCAGGAAACAGTCCTCCATAAAATGTGCTGCACACATCTGAATATTTGGGTTGAAGTGTTCTGGAACAGTGTTGTAAATACAACTTAACCACTGATTTCTAGTCGTGTCCATTTTTGGAAGACCAAACAAAGTAGTTTCGCTTTCACAACGAAACACAGCGTCACACACGGCGGCCTAGAGTGAGCAGAGCCCGGGGGATAAAGTGAGGAACGGCGGGAGGGCTAGAGTGAGCGGAGGCAGCGGATTCGACGAAGGAGCGGCTGGAGGGCTTGCGGCAACCACATGTGACGACCCCGAGCTGGACTCCGCTTCGTCCACGGTGAAAGCCGATCCGGCGATCCACAGCGCAAAGTTGTTGTATTTCCTCAGCAACCAGCACGGATCAGCTCCAGGCATGACGAAGTGGATATCGTCCTCTTTTGGAAGGCCAAACTAAGTATTTTCGCTTTCACAACGAAACACACAGTGCCTTTACGACACGGCGGCGGCAGCAACAATACTACAGCCAAAATAAAAGTTACACCTTCTTTCTTTGCGTGAACATTTGGGCGGCATTATGCAAATCTTCCCACATCGTGACGTAGACATGTGGGGGCGTGTTAGAACAAGCCTTTTTAGGTAGGTGTGGTTGACTCTTAACTTTTATAAAGAATATCTCTTTGGATTTGAGACTTTAATCTTTGCAACTTTACAGATCGTCTTTATGCACCGATAGCTTGCAACACTCCAAAGAGAAAGGAAAAATTTTTATCGCATCATATGACCCCTTTAAGGGATCTAAAGGAAGGTAATGCAGAGTAAGGCATTAATATGTGCTTTATAAGTACTAATAAGCCAATATTCTGGTAATAAGCAACTAGTTAATAGTGAGAATTGGTCCCTAAACTTTTTCTTTTGTTTTGATTGTTTTTATTTTAAAAGTTCTTAAAATTTTTATGATTTAATTAATTGAGCATTTTGTCAATACACCAATCTATGGCATTTTTCTCATATTTGAATCAAACCTTATCTTAAAGTGTTGAGCCTGGTGAATCTGTGACATTAACAAAGTATTTGCAATTTAAATAAAAAATATCGTACATACAAAGCAACTTTTGGTCTGCCATCAATGAATTCAAAGCAATAGTAAGTAATAGTAATAGATAAAATAAGTAATAGATAAGTATTGCTGTTGCTACTGCTGTTTATATTTAGAGTTAAATGTCTTCATTTAAGAGTGATAAACTCAAGCGTGCAACTCATTCCTCACTGTCGGGTCAGTCCATCTCAAGTGGTCCAGTTGCGATTGCTTGATCGCCATTTGGTATTTATCGGTTTCGTCTTTATGTCAAAACTCAAAGACTTTCACTACAACCTGCCAAATAAAAGTTTGGTTTAACTTTATGGAATATAATGCAATTTGTCCATGTTTAAAAAATTTGCTAAAAAATTTAAGGAATTGTTTCATTTAAAGTATTTACATTTTATTTTATTACATTTTCGAAGATTCATTACATTTTTAAAGTTTTATGCATTCATTTTATCACCACAGTTATTTGATAATACATTTGTATTAAATCACAAAATATAAAATCCAGAGAAACTGAAACAAACAAGACATCATTTCTGAAAAATAAAAACCAAACATATTTCATAGAACACAATAACACTTTAAAAAGTCATTATAACAGTAAAAGACTATAAAAATGTTACAATTAAAACTTTCGAAAACTGTTATAGATTGGGACATTAAATGTAATTGTAGTAAAAGGAAAAATAACAAGTTATCTTATAATTTACAATAAAAAAAATTAAATGGACACTCTCAGAATTCAATTTGAGGTTTCTTCTTAATTTTTTCTTATCAGTTATTGAATTATTTTAGTGTGATGTGTGGTTTGGTGGTCAGACTCAGTAGCCAATACAGTATGTTCAAGTATACAGTATACAGTATGTTAAAGGATTTGTTCATTTTAATTTTTAATTTTAATTTTAGTGTTTTAAAATGGAATCCAGAAAATTTAAAAACACAGATTTTGGGGCAAAAAAAAAAAAAAGGATTTCGTAGGAACATATAAGCAATCACCTAAAACTCTAGCAACCTCAAAAGCAACATGCTGAAAACACTTAGCAATCACATCCTGGCATCCAGCCACATGACCCAGCCAGCAGTGTGAGGAGTTGGACCGATTTAAGCAGAAAATCAATTGTGATGCTGTGGATTCCTTTGTAATTAACACTGAATACACATTTCACACACATTCCATTTCCTCCTTCAAAACAAATCACACCAGTCCATCCACACACACGTTTGTGAGACACATGCTCGCTGACATCTGCCATGAGAGTGAGTGAGTGTGACTTGACTTTTGTCCTGACAGTAATCTGTGCTTTATCCTCCATCTGCCACACTTCCTCTGCGGCTTCATTCTCCAACACACACACACACACACACACACACACACACACACACACACATACATACACACACACACGCACACACTCACACATACATACACACACACGCACATACACATGACCACACCCACAGGTTTGTTTTTATGGTTTATGGGGACTCTCCGTATGCGTAATGATTTTTATACTGTACAAACCATATTTTCTATTGCCCTACACCAACCCTACCCCTAAACCTACCCCTCACAGGAGACTTTCTGCTATTTCAGATTTTCAGTACACTCCATTCTGTGTGATTTATAAGCGTTTTGAAAAGTGGGGACATGGGGTAATGTCCTGAAAAGTCACCTACTCCTTGTAATACCTGTCATACCTTTGTCATTATACACATTTATGTCCTCATTTGTCACAAAAACGCGCACACATACAAACACACACGCATGCACGCACGCACACACACACAAACAAGCACGCACACACAAACGCACGCACGCATGCACACACACACACTCATACACACACACAAACACACACACGCACGCACGCACACACACACACACAAAACAAACATGCACACACACACACACACACACACATTCAATATATTCAAATCAGAACAACTGGAAGAATGGAAATTTTGCTTCTAATTCCAGTTACAATTTTTGCCTAATGATTCCATAAGTGTATTTCTACCTGATTTAACCTATTAAAAATAGTTTTGTTGGTAAATATTGACGTATATGGATTAGTTCAGTGCAAGGTTATTATCATTAACAAAAAAATGCAAATATAGTATTTTACAATCATTTTGTCACCAATGATGACATTGATGTCATTTTTCAAAACTCTAGACACAAAACTCAAAACAGTCATTATTTGTAACACAGGCTGTCCAATGTTCAAAACTATGCATATTGCGTTCTTATCTTTAAAGAAGCCTTGCATTTGCAGAAGCATTGGTTCACAAAACTAATTTATTATGAAATATCATAGGAACATTACTTGAGATCACCCACACGCAAGATACCCATAGTTTCACTGCGTAGATTTAGTACAATCATTAAATATAGCTGTTCAAAACACATGATGCAGCTTTCAATATGGTTCTACGCATTCATTGATTCTATGGTTTATTCATTGCTTCTATTGGTTTGTGGTTCTGATTATTTCATCAATGATTTTCAAATTTTGTTTACAGTAGAGAGAAAAGTACAGATACTAGAATCATTAGTCTATTACAATGATGCATGAATGTGTAGAATAATGCTTTCATTATTCACACAGTGAAACTAGGGGTTTCTTGCGTGTGGGTGATTTAAAGTAATGTTCCTATGATATTTCATAATAAATGAGTTTTTTAAAGGCTTCTTTAAAGATAAGAACGCAATATGCATAGTTTTGAACATTGGACAGCCTGTGTTACAAATAATGACTGTTTTGAGTTTTGTGTCTAGAGTTTTGAAAAATAACATGAAGGTTCTGTTATTAGTGCAAAAATGATTGTAAAAAAAAACTGTATTTCAGCTATTTGCCAAGGCAACATTTCTCATTTTCATTTAAAGTTGAAGTACTAAAATAACTCAATCAACTAAAACAAATCATTCAACGTTTATAAAGTATAGGCATAACAAATAATAAAAATGTTTTTAAAAATCCCAACAGAATTACTACAACTTTCAAATGAAAGTAAAAACAGAAAATATAAATATTAAATCTAATTCAACATATTTACAAAATATGAGTTTTTTTCAACTGCTTTTCGACACACAAAATCTTTACTTATCACACAATTTCTGAAAGCTGACACTCAAAGAGCAGAAGCACACACCAAATCTGCAAAACCATACACTAATTCCCAGCCTTTGACTCAGTTTTCAATTTCATAAAACACTTTTTGCAAAACACAACACACAATTCTCTATGTAACACACAAAACTCTAACAGGAATTAATATTATGGCAAAGGTGTTTGCAAATGTTTGCTTTTGAGATGCGTTTGTGATATTTTGAATGCAGTGCTTCATTTTGCAAGAGATGTGAGGCATTTTGCATTTTGTGTGTGTGTTCTTGGATTTGTTTGTAAAGTTTTGAAAAAAAGGCAAAGTTTTGAAAATGTGTGTAAGCAGTTGAAAAAAGCTGTAACAAAAACTAGAATGGTATATCAGCTATACTGAAATAACACTGCTTCATGATTTGTCTTAAAGAAAAACAGTTATTTTAGATTACATTTTTTTCAGTGTGTATAGAGCTCAACTAGTTCAAGTTCAAGTTCAAGTTCAAGTCTGCTTTATTGTCAATTCTTCCAGATGTACAGGACATACACACAGAGAATTGAAATTGCGTTACTCTCAGACCCTTGGTGCATACAGATAACAAATACAGATTAAATACAAAATACAACTATACAAATATACAAATAAGGTAAAATGTAAAAATATATATATAAAGCACAAGGCATATGGCAGATAGAGATTATGATTAACTATACAAAAACAAATTATGATTAACTATACAAAAACAAAAAAGCTTGCAACCAGCAAACCACAAAAAGTGAAGCAGCACAACTTTTTTCAACATTTAAAATCAGAGATGTTTGAGCAGCATATTAGAATGATCTCTGATGCTGAATAAATGACATTTGAAAATTTGAAATCGAAAACTGTTTTTTTCAATTGTTATAGTGTTGCAATCTTGTTTTTACTGTGTTTTGTCTACAATCACATTCAGTTTAAGCTGCAAACTGCTGCTGTTGATTTTCAGTGTGTTTTTAGTACAGTGTTCGTCCCACATCAGCAGAAGATTAGTTCAGCCGAACATAATGAAAATCATTTCACTACAAACTGAAGCAGTTCTGTTTCTGGATTCCTGGCCTGTCAGTGGTTTTAGTTCCTCTAGAGGTGTAGATTTACCTGATTTGTCAACGTGATCCCGCTGTAATTAATCCTTCCTCCTCAAAGGTCAGCAGCGGACACGCTTCCCTTGTGTGTGTGTGTGTGTGTGCGTTTGTTTCATTCATGCACTGTTTATCTTGTATATTACAGTCTTAAAGGGGTCATATGATGTGATTTCAAGTTTTCCTTTCTCTTTGGAGTGTTACAGCAATATCCTTTGACCCCTTTAACTGTCCATTAAAATGATCATGTTGAAATGTTGAAATGCACATGATGTCCCTCTCTCTCTTTGTCTCTGTCCGTCTCTCTCTGTCTCGCTGTGTCTCTGTAGCTGAAGACTGTCGACTTCTCTCTCAGATCCCAAAGGTGCGCTGTCTGAGAAATGAGCGCCGGGAAGGTACGTGTGATACGAGGAGTGGAGATACATTCATATACTAACAATAAACATGTTGAATGTTATAATAAATGCATATTGTATAATTAGTGGAGTTTTAGTTTTGCATTTGCATTTGCAATATTTTAGAAAAAAAGTGGTGATCTGCCATTGTTACCTTAAAGAGCTACCTGATTTATAAAAATCAGTTTGGTTGGTATACATTTAATATATTTAAATATGATGTTTTGACATGAGTAATACCAGTTCATTTAGATCTCATTTAGATGCATTTCTAAGTATATAGTGCTAAACTTCCATCAGGAATAATTCACATAAAACTGTCAATTCTGTCAGGACATATTAAAGACTGCAAAGTTTAAATACTCACACTTTTGTTCCAAAGTTTTGGGTCATTGAGATAAAAAAAAAATACAAAATTAATTCAGTAACTAAGGATTAAATTGATCAAAAGTGACAGTAAAGATTTCTATTTCAAATAAATGTTGTTCTTTTGAATGTTCTATTCATCAAAGAATCTTGAAAATAAATGTTTCATGGTTTCCACAAAATATATATATATTTGGCAGCACATCTGTTTTCAACATTGATAATAATCAGAAATGTTTCTTGAGCAGCTAATCGGCATATTAATAATTTCTGAAGATCATGTGACACTGAAGACTGGAGTAATGATGCTGAAAATTCAGCTTTGATCACAACAATCAATTACATTTGAACAGATATTCAAATAGAAACACTTATTTTAAGTTGTAATAACATTTCACATTTTTTAAAGGTGCCATAGAATGGAAAACTGTATTTACCTTGGCATAGTTGAATAATAACAGTTCTGTACATGGAAATGACTAATAGAAACACTTATTTTAAGTTGTAATAACATTTCACATTTTTTAAAGGTGCCATAGAATGGAAAACTGAATTTACCTTGGCATAGTTGAATAATAACAGTTCTGTACATGGAAATGACTTACCGTGAGCCTCAAACACTATTGTTTCCTCCTTCTTATGTAAATCTCGTGCATGCAAAAGACCACTGAAAAATAGGCGAATCAGAACATAACACCGACTGTGACGTTACAGTCGGGATCACTAATAGTTACGCCCCCAACATTTGCATATACCCGCCCATGTTCTATGCCGGCCGCCAGCCGAATCATCAGAAGTTCTGCAGGTATTGTGAAGAAACAAGCGAGGATAATAGCGAAAATGGCAGATCATGGAAATAAATGTAATGTTCCAGGCTGTGCAGGGGATGTGAAGTGCATGGATGGGTTGGTGTCTGTATTCAGAAAGGCACGGAAAACAAATA